GGATGCCTCCTGGAAGCCTCCCTGGTGAGGTGTTCCAGGCACGTCCCACCGGGAGGAGACCCAGAGGAACACCCAGGACACGCTGGAGAGACTATGTTTCTCGGCTGGCCTGCGAACGCCTTGGGATTCCTCCGGAGGAGCTGGCCCAAGTGGCTGGGGAGAGGGAAATCTGGGCCTCCCTACTTAAGCTTCTAACCCCGCGACCCAACCCCGGATAAGCGGAAGAAAATGGATGGATGGATAGATGGATGAGATACTGATGCCTCTGAGGTTTCTAGCCTAATAAGCAGAAGTTTGTGTAAGAATTGGTAATTTTAGGAAATATAGTATGTCCCCTCAATATAACCTTTAGAACATGATTATTGTGCAAACTAAAATAATTTGAGAAGATGGCGAGAAGATGGTATGTTGTCTGAAAAGTATTTTATTGTACATCATTTGACATTTTGTTCAAAGTTGGGCTGAAATTTCAGTCAAAGAAAAGTATTTTTTTTAACTAAAGCTGAATTAATCATATGCCATGTTTTTGTGGTGAAAAACACTACATCACAAGTAAATTATTTTTATTAATAAAATGGTAACATTTTTGGTGTTCACTACCTTTTGTTTGCATGTAAATCCATTTTTCTTGCTACACAATTTGCAGGTGCAAATCTTTCCTCAATGGTTTGCAACAGATTTTTAAGGAATCTTAAAAACGTGTTTTTTTGCATAAAATTTGCCACACTGGAAATGTTTACAACTAAGCTTTTTTATGGGCATGAAAACCTCAGGGGATATTTGAGATAAGAGAACATTTTCAACCAAACAAGACACATTTTCAACTAAAACATGTGGAATGTAGATTATATTGTGCAAAAAAAAAAATAAAAATTAAGCTGGAGGCTGTCCTTAAAACACACACAAATCAGACTGATTAAAACACTAATATACTTATTACTACATTAGTATCCCTCAAATGATTTACATGTTAGTCAAAGCAAATCAAATACGGAAAAAGAAAGTGAAACATTCAGAAACAGTAGAGTCTAAAGTTACTTTAAAAAGTCCCATAAAAACCAGAAACAATTTATCACCTGTAAAAACATTACTTAAACACCCACACACACACACACACGCACATGTACCAGTCTGTTTTACTAATTTAAGAAGCTCTGAGTTTTTCTTTAACTTATAGACATGTAGAAAACATAAAAATAACCACCATCTAATGTTCGTTTTAAGACTGAGAGCTTGCATGGAAGAAGCTGCCAATCAGACTTTCATTGTCTTCCACTAAAACAAAGATTTCTAGAGCAAAGGAGCAAAACAACTGTTTGTATCTAAAAATTATATCACAAATCATATTCTGAACACACACTAACACATGAAGGTATCAAAATGGGCATAAAAACACAGCCAGAAGGGCTAAATGATATCACAGAAAAAACAAAGGTTTTCCAATTAATGTTGGCACTCCAAGTGTCTCAGATTAAGAGGCTATTTTGTTGCAAACAAAACAAATGGGTTATGTTAGAACAGACTGAGCTTTCCAAACCAAAGTTATAATAATCTGCTGGTCAATGAATTGAATAATCATTCCAATGTCCTGTTTTCTTTTTCCTAAATATTATATCCTCATCCCGATGGCTTGGAGTTTCAGTTATATCAGAGTTCGCCAACACTTGTTTGGTTTTCTCACTGTGAGACAGTTTCAGGAAAAAAAAAGGTAGTTTCCAGACCTCTCTGTGGTTGGAGGGGTGGAATTACATTGAGGCTGGAACCATTGATTTTTCATTTAAAAAAATTTACCGGTTAAAAAAAGTACAAGGACCATTATATGGTATGGCAATCAGGTTTTCATGGAACAACACAGGCATTGGGAACAGCATGGGCACAAATTCCAGACATTTACTTTATATATTGTGCTTATAAATCAGACTGCGTAGTTGTGAATTACTGTAAGTTTTGTAATCATGTAAAATAAAATTGCTGAGAAGTTATGTTTTGAGCATGTGTAGATAGGAATGTGTGTGTGTGCGTGTGTGCGTGCGTGCGTGCGTGCGTGCGTAAAAAAATGTTTGTTAATTCATTCATTCAACCTTTATTTATACAGGTTAGTCTCACTGAGTCACAAGGACTCATTTACAAGACCTGTTTTAAACAACAATTATAAATGAAGTACACATAACAATAAACATTCATATAAAAGCATATAAAATGAAAACTATATAAAAGAAGTGATATAAAACAAAATTAAAAACATGCTAAAAGCATGTAAAATACTAAAAACAGGAACATGTCTGCATTGATTTTTGCAATGAACTTAGCATTAGTTTAAAATCCCTTAGGGAGGTCAAGGTCAAGAGCTTCAGATCTTTTTGCAAAGTGTTCCAGGTTACAGGAGCAGAGTAAGAGAAGGCTCTTTAGCCAAATTCGGTCCGCACTGATGGGACACTGCAGGTAATTATGTTTTGGGAGCGACGCAGTAGCTGCACTGATAATGTGACATGTATGAGGAGCTATATGAAGGCAGCAAAACAAAAAGTGAATTAAAGATGAAAATGTACTAGTGGGAGAGTCTGTGTGAAGTTAATGATGACCAGTTAACCAGTGAATACAAGGTGCAGTGATGGGTACGGTAGTTACAGCCATTTATGAATCTTAACGCACCATGATACAGCATCCAACATCTGTATTCATTCAACCATTATTTATACAGGTTAGTCTCACTGAGCCTCGAGGACTCATTTACAAGACATACCTGTTTTAAGGTGCTTGCAGGAGCATTCATGTAAATAAAGTCACCATAGTCAAAGGATGGAAGGAAAGTAGCAGTTACAAGGTGTTTCCTAGCATTCAGGGTTAGACAGGATTTATTTCTGAAAAAGAAATCTGAAATTCATAAAAAGAATGGAAAAATTTCTAAAATAAATAAATAAATAAATAATAATAATTACACAAGTTACACAATTTTTTTGTTAAGGTTTGTTAACAGATGCAAAGCAAAAAAAAAAACTATGTGTAAAACTCTGTGCTCAAGTTCCATAACTTGCATGTGAGTTTCAACTTGCAAGAATGAATTGACAGGATGTTTCTTCCTCTCATCTGATTGGTCAATGTCATGTCAATCACAAATTTAACAATCCAATCATAGAACAGATAGGTCTGGCTGTCAGGGTGGCACTTTTCTGAACTGCAGGTCCTGCAAGGGTAGTACATTTGGAAGATGGAGGACGGTCTGCGCTTCTGCAGCTCAGGTAGGCATTACATTATGGTGTTGTGGAACAAAAGCAAAATCTTTGTCAAGATATATATTTTTGAATCATGTTTGGTAGCGATGGCACCATCCTCCATTTTCAAAATTTATACATGCAAATTATGGAACTTCAATGCAGAGTTTTACATGTAGTTTTTGCTTTGCATCTATAAACTGATCTTAAACAAAAATAAACCGACAAAAAATTGTGTCTTGTGTATTATTTAATTTAATTTTTTTTTTACAAATACCAATCTTTTTTACAAGCACATATTTCTATCTATACATGATCAAAGCAGACATTCTCAGCCGTTCAATTTTACAAAGCTACAAACCTAATTCACAACAATGCAGTCTGGTTGACAAGCACAAAAATATAAGTGACAGGAATTTGGGCACATAGAACAGTTGGTTTAAACTGCAAAGCTTTAGCCAATGCTAAAGCAAAACGAAGATAGGTGTAAGCCTGTCACAATAACACATTTTGCTGGGCGATTAATTGTCTCAGAAATTATTGCGATAAACGATAATATTGTTTGCAATTTGACAATAATTAGTAATTATTGTTAAATTGAAGAAGAAATGTTTGTTAATTTGTTTTGCATGTAGTACAGTTTTTCCACCACCGGATGGCAGTATAAGACTGTTTGAACTTAAGGATGGATAGTAAGGGAGCAAGCACCGTGTCTCTTTAAGAAAAATGGGAGAGAGAGGCCCCTTGACATGATATGCGCTCTCTTACTTCCATCCATCCATCCATTATCTTTACCCGCTTATTCCATTTTGGGTCACGGGGGTCGCTGGTGCCCATGCCCAGCAATCATTGTGCGAGGGGCGGGGTACACCCTGGACGGGTCGCAAGTCCATCACAGGGCCACATAGAAACAAACGAGACAAACAACCATTCACTCTCTCACTCACACCTAGGGACAATTTAGAGTTACCAATCAGCCTAACATGCATGTTTTTGGTCTGTGGGAGGAAACCGGAGTACCCGGAGAAAACCCACGCATGCACGGAGAGAACATGCAAACTCCACCCAGAAAGGCCCCTGGACCGGGGTTTGAACCAAGGACCTGCTCGCTGAGAGGCAGCAGCTCTACCAGTTGCACCACCATGCTGCCCGCTCTCTCACTTCGGTTCTCAAAATGGCGGACGCTCAGTGTGGTTTGAGCTCTTTAGCATAGCATTTTTCACACAAAGCTTTTAATAATAAAAAATCAGTAAACAAGTTCTCAGCTTCTTTTTGCAGAGAAAAACTTTTTACACGAAGGCACGGGTTTCAACTGTGAATTTTGGTGCTTCGAAAAGACTGAGGTTTTTTCCCACGGTCGGCCTGTTAGCTTAGCTTCTCAACTTAGCTGCTTTTAACAATCCAAAAACGCAATTCTGGACAGTTAAAATGGATTTTAAAGAGAAAAGAAAAAGGGAGGGGTCAGTGAAGAGCACCTGAGTTGAGCCTTTTGTCATCCAGTGTCTTCAGTAGAAAGAGAGACACAAAGAAACGATAAATGAAAATGAAGTCGATAATTTTCATTTATTATGCGATTAATTGATTTATTGTTTATCTCGACATGCCTAGATTGGTGTAAAAATAAAAACGTAGTTATAATATATGTGTCTATATGTCAGGTTGCATGCAGAGTTGCTATTCTTTATTTTGCATCACCACATGGAATTCATCTTGAAATCAAGCACGTTATATCAACAAAAGCTTGCGTCGCTGATTCAATTAAGGCATGAGTTGCAACTCTCCACTCACTGTGTATGTTGTTGGTTTCAGGGCCTGGAGAAGCTCTAACAAACTCCTGGGGATGTCCAAGCTTCAGGGTTTGGCTCCTTGGCAGCCCTGACGAGGACAGCTTCCCAAGCCTGGGGCCACTTGGGCTCTCCATGCCTGCAATGGTAGATGGAGTACAAACAGATAGGAGACATGAATGGCTATAGGCAATATTGAAATGCATTCTGCTGCTCATTAATCTGCTTCCATTGTTTGTCAGAACATTATGAGCACGCTATTACATCAATAGCCTGTAATGATGGAGTTGCCTTTTTCTTTAGTACAGTGTCTTCATGCTGGTCATTGGGTGCCTTTGGACTAAAGGTTATCTGAGAGGAGGTACACACATCATCTGCAGAGGTAATGAGGGTGTGACCTTCCATGTTTCATTTCAAAATCAATACTCTCACTCACACACTAACTTCATGCTCTGCCCATTACACAAAAGGTGAGTCAAAAAGAGGACAGGGAAAGAAATGGCTTTTTCTGAGCAGCTCTGCTCGATGCATCTCTTTATTGGGTCAGTTGGTAATAGGTAAAGCTCTGCTTAAATGAATGCTTATTCTAATTTTCTGACAGCAAAACACAAATCACATCAAAGTCATTATTTTCCTAAAAGATTTTGTCATGTTGTAGATGTCATGCCAACTCTGAAAATCAGGCTCTTTGTTTCAAAACTTCCTTCCCCATCAGCAAACAACAGCGTAATGAATGGAAGGCTGACAATAGCTAATTACTGTAAGTGGTAGCGATTACACTCCAACATGCTTTCTCTTAGCACACATTTGTGTTGCTTTCATAAATAACAAGAGCACACAAATAGTCCCTGAGTGAGAGCCAATCAGTTTCCATTTTTATGTCATGGCCTTCACTATACAGGGCAATAATGGCTTATCTGTTCCAGAGATAGTTCCCTTGAAGTTTGTTTTTTAAGGTCTTCATAAATTTAAACATAAAATGCACAGTGAGCTTGGCTTCAGGATGCAAGCTGCTGAAAGGCACATAAACATAAACAGGAAATATCACTCACACTGAAACATTTGTAATGCTATGACTGTTAAAAAAAAAAAAAAAACGTGTGAAGATAACAAATGAAAACTATCTCCGAAAAACAGACACGGTTAGAAACACACCATTCATTAATCATGAGTCTTTATCACTGCAAAACAAACAGAAGCAAAAACAGAGGTTTGAGCTGGCATTTTCATTTGATGTGGACAATGTTTTACAATGTTATTATTTTAAAATGATTTTTGCTACAAACGTCTAAAAGGAAATAGGCAAAGTTATAAAATTCTGGCTCACTTAAGGGTACGTGTTGGAAAGTCATTAAGACAATTAAATAAAAATTCATTAAGTAATGAACAAAATTTATGTGTATTATTATTGTAAGTAAAATCAGCTAGTGTACAAGTCTCTTGTGTGTCTGCGAATGTTCACAACTCCTTCAATATACAAGGACACTAAAAATACATAAAAAGTGTAGCAATAAGAGCTGATAGAGATCATTAACACTACTGTTTTGCCTGTTTTTGTCACGTTGACCCACTGATAAGCACAGTTCTAAAAACTACCAGGCAGGTTAATATGCAACAAAATATCACACTGTAGCAGTAACTGTAGAAGCGTTCAGTTTTAAAGTAACTTGGGTTAAAAGTTAAGCCGCCTTCTTTGAGAAGTAGTTGAGTAGCAAAAGAAAATGGAAATAATGACAAAACGTGTCTCTGAGTTTTATACTTGGCGTTTTATATATCATGTATATGTCATATCTCATGCTATATATTCCATATATCATGTGTGTCACTACCTTACCATAATTCAATTAATCTCAATGTTACTCACTAATTAAATGGTAAATAGACTGAACTTGTATAGTACCTTTCTATCTTATCAAGACACTCAGAGCACTTTACAACACAATCTGTGTTCTCATTTACCCATTCATACAGCACCCTACTAGATCTCTACAAAGAATAATCAGTGCTATAGAGCACATTCATGCACCGATGGGACGCACATCAGAGGCAATGAGAGGTTCAGTGTCTTGCCCAGGGACACTTTGGCATGTGACTGCTGGTGGAATTGAACCCCCAACTTTTGCATTGGAGGATGACTGCTCTAACCACTTGGCCATAGCCGCCCTAACTGTGCAATAACCTGTCACACAACCTGTCTAGTACAAAGTATATGTTAGTTATGTGCAATATATATCATGTGCATTGAAGCTTACCACTTGTGAAATTCATTCAAATTCATCCTACTTGCATATTCTACCATGTTGTTGTTTACTAAATTTCTTTGGGACCTTGTAAATATTGTATTTCTATTTCTTTTTCACTCTTTGGCAACTTTATTTTGCACCCTTATCGAGTGCTTTAGTATTTCTTGTTTGCTCGAGTCAAATCAATTCATCTCATCCTGAACATATATTGCACTGCTGACCTTGTGTTAACCTGCATATGACAAATAAACTACACAACTTGGCTATAACTGGTTAGTTAATGATTTTAGTTAATCCACTGCTGGTTTTCAAAAAGCAACCCTTCAGCAACTATAGGACAATCTTCATTATGAAAAGATTTAGCACAACTCACACGATGTTGACAAACAACCTGCAAACAAGTGCCTTCCTCCGCACGTGGCACGCAGACTGTCAGCAGCAAGGATTAAATAAATGCACGTTTAATAAAAGTGACATTATTTCACATGGGGGGGGGGGGGGGGGCACCTACCTGAGCTGGAGGGGCAGTCGCTGAGCAGTCGGGTGTCCCCGCGTCACCCGCGGCGAGGAGGAGGGGGGAGGTCAGGAGACAGGCACCGGGGGTGGGCGTCTTTCCACCGATGTTACGTTACATGGCGTCCACACCTGCTGTACGTCAACTGCCGGTCACGCTCGGGCAAGGGGGGCCTAAAAGGAAGCGGGCAGCTATTAATGTGTCCCCCTTCCCATCTCCCCCCCCCCCCCCCCCCCCCAACGCATACGACGACCAGGTTGACGAAAAACTGCAGGGGAAAATCACAAATTTTCCGTGTGTACACGTCCAGGAGAGTTTCACCTTATTTCCAGTTGTCGACCGCCGCCTCCTCCTTTTCTGCATTAATATGTTTACCACGAGGCACTTCTCCTCCAGTCCGTCTTCTCCCACTCCTGGGGGGGGATCCGCCAGGAAAAGACGGGCAGGTCCCAGACTCCTTCAGTGAGGGGGGGGGGGGATAATAGAATACGGGATAGTTTATACAGGCAGTGAAGCAAAATGGCGACTTTATTACGAAGGAGGCGGAGGAGAGGGGGGGGGGGGGATCCTCGCGCTGGCTTCACGCGAAAGGGAGGCACAAAAATATGTTTAGTGCAGTAATTTCGACGACATCGACACAGGCGGTTAGAGTAAAAGAAAACGAAGCGGTGGAAACCGGTCAGTGACGCCGAGTCCCGCTCGGTTGAATATTTTCTCCTCCACTCCTCGGTGCCTTACCTCGGGATTATTTCGTGTGTTTTTTTTTTTTTTTTCGGGTTTTCGCCTCCGTGTACAGTACCAGCTGCTGTGTGTTGGCTCGCGCGCGGCTCCCCTCCACCTTTGACAGTTGCAGCCAGCGGAGTCTTGAAGCAACTTGCAAACTCTCGCGTTATTATTATCTGTTTGGAGCTGAATAATAGTGGGCTTTACTGGCTAATAAAGTGGCTGCTCGTTCCGACGTAACGCCGCTCGTGTCTGACGGAATAATAAAAAAATAAATAAATAATAAAACAGAAAGAGGGTCAGAGCTTAAATTCCTCACATCAACCCTCATTAAGTGGCTGCTGTGTGTAACAAATGTTTACTCCGACTCCATGAAACATCAAGTAAAACATAAACTATAACTGTGATGACGTAAAAGCTCAGATTTTCACAAAGTCCCTAAATTCAAGGTCAAAGTTCACCCATAATTAAGCCTATATGTATATATGTCAGTATCAGCTGGCAGCTCATGGGATAAAAACAATGCAAAGTACTTATTTGGTGTTCTGTACACTTTCTTTGTGCACATGCTCGCACCATCCAATAATAAATGTTATGTATTTTACATATGCTATAAGCTCACCAGATCATTCATGATATCATCGCCACCTCACTCTGGTACAAAAAACAGAGCACTCTTACAGTGTTTGATTGGTGCCAGTCAAAATGGCCCAATATTTCCTATTAGTGGAAAATTATCTGGAAAGTATGATGTAATTATGTATAAAATTAGTTTTTAAGTGTTGCCTGAGGAGGGCAGTATAGCTTCATCTTCTCCCGTCACTGGGTGACCTGAAATGTTTGGGTTTTCCTGATGCATCTGAGAAGGAAGGGGACTAAAGTTATCTGTCACTGAAACATCTGTTACACTGTTCCAAAAATATGGATTTATATAAGACAAATGAAAGAGCCAAGCAGTAAATATCTAAAAAAAGTTAAATCTGGTCCTCTGGACATTCAAAAAAACAAAACAAAGCAAATCAACAAAAAATGTAGGAACGTTTCGTCTCTCATCCGAGAGACTTCCTCAGTCTCACTCTCGGATGAGAGACGAAACGTTTCTACATTTTTTTGTTGATTTGCTTTGTTTTGTTTTTTTCAATGTCCAGAGGACCAGATTTAACTTTTTTAGATTTTTCTACCTGGATTATTGAGCATGCATCAGGACAAGCAGTAAATAGCTACTTCTTAAAATACTGTTGATTCTTTAAGGCAGCACGGTGGTGCAGTCAGTAGAGCTGCCACCTCTCAGCAAACAGGTGGCCCCAGTTCAAATCCTGGTCAGGGGTCCTTCTGGGTGAAGTTTGCATGTTCTCCCTGTGTATGTGTGAGGTTTGCTCCGGGTACTCCGGTTTCCTCCCACAGACCAAAAACATGCATGTTAGACTGATTGGCAACTCTAAATTGTCTGTAGGTGTGAGTGAGAGAGTGAATGGTTGTTTGTCTCATTTGTCTCTATGTGTCCCTGTGATGGACTGGAGACCTGTCCAGGCCTCTCGCACATTGATGGTTGGATATGAGCACCAGTGACTCCTGGTTCAGTTCCTGTCCCCCCTCCAGCTCTGGGCTCAGGCTCCGGCCTGTCATGGCAGCCGTCTCCATGATCCTCCACCTGCCTGCACGGACCTGTTCGGCTCCGTGGGGGAAAACCTTGGATGTTCTCTGTCTGCTGGACCCGGTTCTGGAGGGTAGTCTGTGAGGACAGCTGCTGCAGTCATTATTACCATCAAGCTGCTAGCAGGACCTGCCAACAAGACCACGTTAACAGAACAGAACCATGCTGCTGAAAGAACCTCACTGTAGATTCATTTCTTTTTCACTTTGGCGCCTTGTTTTTCGTATATTTGCTGCATGCTTTGGTGTTTCTTGTTGTTTCTTTTGTTGCGAGTCGAGACGGTTCTTCTCGTCCTCAGCATTTCATTGCATTGTTGACCTTGTGATGATTTTTACACATGACCAATAAACCAAACCTGAACCAACCCGAAAAAGAACAAGCAGGTAAAAGATAATGGTTGGACGGATGGATTGATTCTGTAAGTAAATACGCACAGTCACTGATCATGTAATATTAATTAGGATAGTAGTAATTTACTGTTTTTGTATTGCAACAGTGAAAGTTTTCAACATTGTGTCCAAAGTTTGCATTTGTCATCCACAAGAGAGCAGTGTAGGTCTATGATTTCTCCAGAGCAGCTGTTCAAAAATGAAGAGGTCCCTGAAGCTTCACTGGTTGTGTCATGGGGCTATACAGATAACTTTTGTGTTTTTCTGATTTGCTTGTTAGGACTTGAGGTTTTATACATCCAATGTAGAACAATTCAAGTTTAAACCGTTTTCTATGTACTCAGTGCTGATAAAAACATAACGATGGCCCCAGTTTGACTTTATATTAATCTGTCCAACTGTGTTTTCTGCTGAGTGAGCAGAAGGTTGTTTTAAAGAAAACTGTTCAGAGGAGATAACCTACTTTCTTCTGACCTTTCCAGACAAAGTTCAATAGAGCATTTGCACTTTTTTTTTCTTATTAACTTGCGATGTAAGTAAAAGTTTACTGTAGCTGAACAGGGGTTAACAGCTGGCTGCTGGCACGACAAATTACCACCTTCAGCTTCTTTTGCCACCGAGCAGCTTCACTCTCGGGGTTGTAGAGGTCCAGACAACAGCTGATCGTGATGTCAGTGTTGAGATCAAGAAACAGATTTTAACAAATGGACTTCTACAAAGCAAGGCCTCACATTGGAGAAGTATTTTAGAGCGAAATCACAAAAGCTTTGAAAAAATCTGCGCATTTCCAAATTGTAAACATATAGGGACAAAAAAGATTAATATTTGTTACTGAGACGTAAAATGATTAATGTCTCTCAGAGTTAGCTCTCATTTAGTGAGTTAGAAAGTTCATAGAGACAAGACTATGGTCAGAGCTGAAGTTATGACTCACTGATGTGAAGTCTGAGGCATAGCTGAGTATGTCAGCCTGTTTTTGGGAGGTGAAATAGTAATTTTAGAAAGTTGTGTATTTGTTGATGTGAAATCTCAAACCCCTGTTCTATCCACCTTATTCTTAGCTCCCATGGTGCCTTGCATGCATTATGGGCATAACTTCCAATGCAGAACAGAACCGGCATTTGTTTATGTGCAAACGATATGAGCTAATTTAGTTTCTCCAAGCATTGTGGATTTAATTTAAACATGTAGGAGCACCACCTGTCACAGCTCAGACAGGACAATATAAGCATACCGCTGCCTACAGAGGGCGAGGGATGGAGGACGACCTGAAGAAGTGGCTGCAGATTTCATCTACCATGTTTATCTACTTCATTGATTCGGTTCTTCCGACGGTGAAGCAATGAACGACCTGAAAAACCCGAGGCCTATTTGTCTCAACACAGTAATAAGGTCAGTCGTAATTTATTGAAAGAGGGGGGACACAGTCTTATTCACCTTATATCAGACATAGAGCCCAGCCAAAGACTTGCCTCCATTAATGAGCTTGGATTAATTGTAGAGAAAATCATAATACTGAACATGAACAAATACTATAATGCTGTGCCCTTCATACTCTTGAAATCATACCTGATATTCTCGTCACTGTTTTCAATCCTTCTGAGGATCCGGCGTCTCTTCTCTGGTGGTTTATTGTAGTCCAGACACAAAGTAGGATGCAGGTTTGCTCTGTCAGCCGTTAACAAAATGAAATGAGCTCACAAACAGTGTTTTGGGTAGTAGTCTCTTCAAGTTCACATGTTTCAGACACATTTTTCTTAATTCTTCATCTGCAGGTAGATGATGGAAACTAAACTACTTTTCACAGGAACACCGTTTTTGTTTCGGGTCTGTGTTCAAAACACTGATTAGCTTGGTCTGGTTGTTCGTGCAGCTGCAAACACAACAGGTACCTGAACTCAGCATGGCTATTTCAGTAAACTTTATGGTTAATAAATAAATGCAAACAAAACAAAAACAGCGTTCTATCTGTTAAACTGAATGCAAATTATTTTCAAATATACTGCAGTCTGTGCTCTGCTACCATGGTTAACCAATGCTTACTGCTACTTCCTGTGTCTGACAGGAAGTTGTACCATAATCCTTTATACAGTACAGCTTATACAGCCCACAGGAGTAAGGTGAATAGTGTCTTGTTAAAATAAAATAAAGAGCTGACTTTCTTTCATTTTTCATTTTGTTCTTCCTGTATGGAAGCCAGGAGAGGACATGCTAAGAAATTTATTTTCACTGCGTTTTCTTGAGGTAACTATTTGTCTCTATCTCACTATCTCTTTGTGCCACAAACAACTCGAGCAAAGAAAACTGAGCTTTCTTTAGGAAAAAAAAAAAACCATCTAGTTTTCCTTAAGATGATGAATACTCGTGGTCACATAATTGACCCAGAGAACAGAATTATTCACAGCAGGTACGGCTGACCTTAGCTTCCATAATTCTGTCCTCCTTCTAAATGTATTTGTTTTCTACGCAAGTAGGATTTATTAAATTATTTATATTGTTATTTTATCTGATGTTTGAGATTCCATGTCCCTTGACCTTTATACATATTAAACATTTATTTAAAAAAAACATGCTCTTCATATATATTAGTTATGTGAACATCAAGACCAACACTTCATCTCAATAGGTTTATTCAAAAAAAGACACTTTCCTCACACACACATATATATATATATATATATATATATATATATATATATATATATATAATCAGTGAAGTGAATAAACATTTCATCATTTTACTTTACTTGGAGCTCACACAGATTATCCATCATCATTCCAAGCAAATCAAAAGTGTAGATATTTACAGTACATTAAGTAATCTAAAAATACCACAGTGTGTTTTCTCCTCTGAACAGTCAGTAGCTCACACTGTCCAACAGCTCCTTATCTTATTGATGGAAGAAGGTTGGATGTACAGGTGTTGTTTACAGGGTGTTTGTTGGTTTGTCTCTATTTTATTTATGCCCTGTGATTATCATCATCCCCACAGTGGCTGTTTGTTGCTGCCTCCAGTTACATCCAGGATTCTGGCATCAGCCACTTTGGAAATCTTGCATCTGGCTTGCTGTCACAGTTTACCATTTAATTTATGCTCGCTGAAAACTTCGGTGTCACATCAGGGGACAGGAAGAGGACAGAATACAAAGGAGATGTGTCCTGTCTTCTAGTGTCAGAGAGTGACAGATAGCATAGGCTTTAAAACTGCACATCCCTGTCTGTCTCTCTAAAGACACCGCTGAATTCTGCAGAAAAGATTTCTGAATTTATTTCTTGTATACAATACCCTCTACCCATGACATGTTCAAGTTATTGCTTTATGCATAAACAGTCAGTGAATATCCTTTTAACTCTACGAAATGTCCTAGAGTTTCCATTAATTAACACTAAGGATCTACACATTAAAGTCAGTTACTCTACAACACACACTTATATATAAAGGTCTAATTTCTCACTGATATCCTAATTATTCACAATACAAAATGGTTCAATGTGGCACTGACATTCAGTTTAAACTCATCAAATGAAAGTTTCCCAAATTTGAAAGAATCATCCACATCGCTGGGATCCATTCTCTCCTAGAGTGGTGGATCGTTCATTGCATCGTTTCCGAAGGTATCCCAGCGTTGAACAGGAGGCTTTGTCTCTGTCTCTGTGCCTGTAAACCAGTTTGGCCATGCCTGAATGAGAATCCTCCGGACTGGTTGGCATGAAGTCTATAGGCTTGTCCTCTTCCCCTTTCACTTGTTGGTTCTCCACTCACATTTCTGGAGATAGCAGCTCTTCCGCGGCTCCTAGAGACGGACTGTGACAGGGGAGGAGGGTAAGGGCTGCCACACAGATCCAGGGATGAGCTAGGAGAAGTTTCCAAAGGAGGCTGTGGAGAGAAGAGGAAAGGAAGAAGTACATGATCAGGATTCACACAGAAACAAAAAGAAGAGGTTTAAGTGCAGTAACTGATTGTCACGCTTTCATTTTGTCTTAAAGGAGCTCTGTGCTATTATGATTATTCAATCTGCACAATACCAGAACAGTAAGTTCCATAAGAGTCACAGTTTAGGAATAAATACATCATGAAGATTAATGGCAATGAGTAGTGCCTGTGGCTGTCTTCATTTGTCTATTTACACCTCGACATGCAGGAAGAGAGCCACCTGCATCATGAAGGACCACACTCACCCAGCACACACACTTTTTGCCCCACTCCCCTCAGGAAAGAGGTTAAGGAGCATTAAGTGTAGAACCACTAGACTGAGGAACAGCTTCTACCCTGAGGCTGTTAGACTCATGAATTCCTAAACAGGATAATCACTGTGAAAAATCACATCATGTTGCTGCTGATCTGTTTCATGTTGCTGCTGATCTTTTACATGTTGCTGTGTTCGTGCGTCGCATCTGCTCACACAGACTCATGTCCGTGCTGCTGTTTGGCATATTATTTTTGTACTTAGTGCTTAGCGTATTTTTAGTTGATGTTTTTCTTAGTTCATATCTTAGATCTTATTACTGTTCTTCTTTTACTTTTTATTGTTGGATGTAACTGGGACCCTGTGTACATAATTTCATTCCACCACATGAACCGCATGTGGTGCGAACGACAATAAAGAAACTCTGACTCTCACTCTCTGACTATAGCATTAGCAAAACATATGAATCAGAGTACTTATTTATATGAAACTCTCAGAAAGTTCTGGTTGAATGGACATCGAACAAATTACCTTTTGGAGTAAAATCCCATTCAACATGGTCGCCACAGCTAAGCGGCCTTAGCAAACACAAAAATAGCTTTACTTCTGCCAATTTTAAAAATACTGAGCAAATATTAGTGGAGTACACATTTTCTGAGCACTATCACGACTTGTGAGATCTCACAATATTGCATTAGATCATGCATAATGTCACTGACAAGGTTTGACATAAACAGCTATAAATCTGGTTTGAAAGGTGGCGGGCGATATGCATTCCTTAACGTGTTGGCAGACCTTTAGGATTGATTAATTAATCTGTTTTTCATGGATCTATTTTAAGCTACTGTGTATATGTTTAAAGTCGCCATGAGCAAAACGTTGAGATTCCAAATCCGTTTGTGGCTCTTGGTTTTGTGTGGATGGACTAGAGGACTGCACATTTTTGATGAGGTTTTGATGGATTCTTCAAACCCATAGGTGAAGCAGGAGAAAAGTCGAGGGTGTAAACAGGCAGAAATGACATATTCCGTTTCTTTCTTTGTCATTTATATTCAGAGTTTCATTCATATTCTAATTCACATCTACAGCTCAGCTCGAGTGAAGCGCTGAGAGGACCGGAAACGTCTCAGAAGAATTTCAGAGCTAAAAGGTTACCGAGACGGTCTTCCACTGCAATCAAAGCACCACATGCCTCCCTTCCTGAAGGATATCAGGCATCTTACTGAGATTCATTTTTCAACATCATTAGTTTTTTCCTGATTAGCTGAGAGTTTCACACATGGCAGATGGTTTCATGCAAAGACACAGACTTACTTTGATGAAAATTTGATACGTTGATGTGGAAAAGGGCGCTGACAGTTTAGTACAAAGATAAACCAACAACAGACGCAGGAAGGCAGCTTTCTGATCTGAAGCCTCTCTCTCAAAACTTTCCAGATGATACGATTCTTGAACGGTTCTCCTTTCCCTCTGAGAGCTGTAGCTCTGGGCTACAGAAGACTTCAACCTTACCCATCACTGACTGACTGAAATAAAAGAGCCTAGCCTCTGAAACACATCGTCTAAAAATAAAAATACCATGTTCAGGCATAAAAAAGGCAAATAATTTCCACATCCATGACAAGGTTAGCTACAAGAAAAGACAAACATAACCCTCCTGGAGTGTTAGTTTGGCGTATATATAGTTGTTCACATTCAGCTTTGATGTAAAGTCGCTCTTTCAAATGTTAGTCAACATGTCACCATGTCTTGAGGATTTAAAGGAACTGTATAAAGCTTGTCATTTCTCCAAGCTATAGATAAAAAAAAAACTTTATAAATGAGAGGGCAATCTGATATATAAGCCCTTGTAGAAGATGAATTACTTTATTTACATGTGAAATGTGTGAAAGTTACTATAAAAGCAGAAGCATATTCTTTTAAAAACTTTAATTCAACTTTTCCAGAGTCACCGTGATAAAGAAAGTTAAAAACAAAAAGCCAATAATGCTCAGTCAGGTCATCTGGACAGTTTCTTTTTTGTTGAGACGTTTCGCCCTCTATCCAGAGGGCTTCATCAGTCTGAAGAGTTCCAAGTAAACTGTTTTCCCACCAAGCAGTAAACTCCTTAAGTGGACCAACCAGTTTGCTGGAGATAAGATGGTTTCTGGGGGCTGTCCTGTCTCCCGTCGACTCCTCCTCAGACTGATGAAGCCCTCCGGATAGAGGATGAAACGTCTCCTGGATGATTGAGCATGAACTTTGTTAAAAACAAAAATATGTATTTTAATCAAGAGATATTAAATGTTAACTATTTTTTGCTTGTGTTAGTTCTTAGACACCCTTATCACTATTTGGCTTATTCTTCCATTTTCATTACGAATTTCAAAACACAGCTCTTCCAGCAGCGCTAGAAAATGACAAATATATATGTTGGAAAAAATATTGTCTCTTAACTTACTTTAATTAAGAAAAACACACTTGATAGCAGGAGAAAATCTTTAACTGGTACTGTACTTGCTTGCAAGGTCAGATTTTCAGGACAGGCTACAGAGATATACAGTAAGTACACACATGAAGACCAGTCACAAGAATCTGCCACGAGCTGTGTGTGTATCTTGTTTTTATACGCTTATCAGTTCAGCCAAGTTCACAGACTCAGAGGTGTCCTTGTTGTGCCAGCTGCACACTGCAGCCTCATCTAACTCCTCATTCAGCACTCTCTGCTAAACCAAACATATGATTCATGGGCAGCATTAACATTCTCAGCCATTGTAGTTTAAAACATCCATAAACTTTGACCAAAAATTCCCTAACAACATATGTCAAAACCTGCAGCTCATTTGGAAATACTGTGCTAAGACTTTTGGTTGTCGTAGATGAAATTAGCATAAACTATGACAATTTTCTAAATAGGCAATAATTGAATTTTGGCAATATGAGTGAGTAAATCCAGCCTTCCCTGGAGCTCTGCAAAACTTCAAAGACAAAAAGTCATTCTGATATATATATAT